AAAAGCCTTTTTCTGTTTTTTTTTTAAATAATTTTATTTATTTATTTATTTTTCCCCCAAAACCCCAGTAGATACTTGTATGTCATAGCTGCACATCCTTCTAGTTGCTGTATGTGGGACACGGCCTCAGCTTGGCCGGAGAAGTGGTGTGTCGGTGCGCGCCCGGGATCCGAACCCGGGCCGCCAGTAGCGGAGCGCGTGCACTTAACCACTAAGCCACGGGGCCCGCCCGTCTGTTTGGTTTTGAGACGCTTGCAGATTTCTGAAATGGGAGCTTTCTCCCTATTGCAATAGTCTTTCCTTCTAATTAGTCTCTCCCTATCTAAGTCCAGATTTGTTTTTATTTGACGTAGCAAAAACAAAGCTTGACCTTGACCTCATACCATACACTAGATTAATTTCAACAAGATTAAAGGTTTATGTAGAAAAAATTAAAACAATAAAAATGAAATAAATGTTAAGACTATCCTTTTAGGACTACCTGGACTGGGGAAGGGGGACTATGCAAGACAGGAAACACAAAAGCCAGAAAAGAAAGCTTAGGCATTTCTGATGAGAGAATACATTTTTCTAATTACAGCTCAAAGGACACCTATAAAATGCAAAGGACAAAAAGAGTTGGGGAAAAAATACTGCAACACAACTAAGAGTTAATATCCCTAATGTACAAAGGGCTTCTACAAATTGATAAGAAAAAGACAAATCACTCCAAGAAAATTGGACAAAGGATATGAAGATTTGCAGAAGAGAAAAGCTAAATGGTCAACAAACAGAAAAAGATCTTCAGTTGCACAAGTAGTCAGGAAAATGCAAATTAAAGCAATTAAATACTACTGGCCTTCAGATTGGCAAAAATTAAAGACAGCATCAACATCCAGTGCTAGAGGAGATTTGTTTGCCTTAATGAACTCACATTTTGGTGGTGGGAGTAGAAAATGTTATAATCTTTTGGGGGAAGTGATTTGGCTGTATCTATTTAACAACAAAATACCCTTACCTGCATTTAATAATAAAACTTCAAAATATAGGAAGCAAAATTTGACTGGTGCAATGAAAACCTGATTTACCAACAATACGTGGGAGACTCTCTCTCCTCTCTCAGTAACTCATTGGGCAAACAGAAGAAAATCATCAGGAAGGATATATACGTTTTAAACAGCCCAACTAACAAGCTTGAACCAATAAACACATATGCTAAACCCAACAGCTGGAAAATACACAGTCTTGTCAATCAAGAGATGAAAGATTTTTTTAATTGATGTTTTAATAATTTTAACATTGTGAAATTTTGGGTTGTACATTTTTGTTGGTCAATCACCATATATATGTCTCCTTTCACCCCTTGTGCTCACCCCCCACCCCCATTGCCCCTGGTAACCACAATACAGTTTTCTCTATCCATGTGTTGGTTTATATTCCACATATGAGTGAGATCACACAGTGTTTGTATTTCTCTTTCTGGCTTACTTCACTTAACATAATACCCATCCATGTTGTTGCAAATGGGACGATTTTGTCTTTTTTTATGGCTGAGTAGTATTCCACTTTATATATATACCACATTTTCTTGATCCAATCGTCAGTTGAGGGACACTTAGGTTGCTTCCACTTCTTGGCTATAGTGAATAATGCTGCAATGAACATAGGGGTGCATAAGCCTCTTTGGATTATTAATTTCAGGTTCATTGGATAGATTCCCAGTAGTGGGATAGCT